GGGGTCGTGGTGGGGGCAGAGGGGCTGTGTGGGGACGAGGCAGCCGTGGTGGCAGGGTGACACAGGGCTTGTGGTGGGGACAGGGTGGCCGTGGCAGCCAAGGTGAGTACAGGGTGGCCATGGTGGCAGGGACGGGCTGGCCATAGCGTTCGAGGGACGTCAGGGTTTTGGTGGGGAGAGGGTGGCTGTAGTGGCAGGGAGATATGGGGGCTGCGATGACCAAGGTGGAGACGGAGCCCGGCATGGTGGCAGTGGCGGAAAAGGCTGTGACGGGGACAGGACTCAGCTGTGGTAGCAGGGGATACAGTCACCGCAGTGGAAGGGAACGTGGTGGGTGCCAGGGCCCTGCTGTGGTGGCGGGGACCACCAGGGCCTGGCCATGGTGGCAGGGGGACAGCTCAGGCGGCTGCAGGGCCCACAGGAACACAGCCTCCCCAGCACCCACAGTGTCCCTGGCAGCACAGGGAGGGGTGATGGCCCTTGCACAAGTCCCGTCTCCATGGGAAGCACGACCAAAACAACAAACAAAACCTCAGCCCGAAGCCACCATCCGCCTCTGGAACGGGTGGCCCGCCACCGCTGTGGCGTCCCTGTGACCCCACCCACCCCTCAGCACCGGAAATTTGTCCCGGGCTCAGCACCCACCCTCCTGAGCCAGCCCAAGGTGCCACCGTGTTCTGGAGCTCGGTTGTGAGGACTCCATCATGGTGAGGAGCAGCCTTGGAGTGTCCCCCCCCCCCCAGGGGCCAGGGCGCCTCCTGCACCCATGGGTGCCACATGGGAGGTTGCATGTTGTCCCTGTTATCCCCCATACCTGCCCCCCCCAGTTGTGGGTGTCCCCTGGGGATTTCCAGCAGGGTTTCCCATGGCTTCAGTGACCAGGATGCATGGCTCAGGGACACATGGATGAGGGGACCAGGGGGTGGCACATGACATGTGAAACCAGGGTGACCTATGGGACAGGGGTGACATAGTGGGGACAAGGTCAGGGGGTGACATGGAGGTGAAGGAATAGGGGTGGCACAGTGGCAGGACCTGGGGAACAGCACCCCGGGGCAAGGGGGAGGCCCAGGGTGACAGAGGGAGCAGGAGGGGTGTGATACAGGGAGCAGGTCCTGTAGGGATGACACAGAGATCAGGAAAACGGTGACATGGGGGCAGGATCATGTAAGTACTCGGCCAGGGAAGGCAGGGGGTAACAGAGGGTGCTTTGGGGAACAGGACCCCTGGAGGCAGTGTGGGGGGAAAGGGGGGGCAGGAGCTCTAGGGCATGGGGCTAGGGTGACAGGGGCCAGGACCCCCGGGGGTGGAATGGGGTAGCACAGGGCAGGATCTGGGGGGACAGAGCTGGGGATGACACGGAGGTGGGGGGGGTACAGGGCAGGATGCTCAGGGACTGCAGCCAGGGACAATGCAGGAGTGGCCCAAGCAGGACCCCCCAGGGCACACGGGGGAGGATCGGGGGGGCAGGGCTGATGCCGGGGACGTGGGGCAGGATGAGGGGGACACAAGGCCAGACCAGGGACACGATGTGATGCAGCGCAGGTTTGGGGGCGACCCTGATGGGCAGAACGGGGTGACACGGGTCGACTTGGTGGGGCAGACGGGGGTGACGCATGGGCGGGACACGGGGCGGGCCCGGGGCACAGCCCGGTGCGACCCGACGTGACCCGTGGCACAGCCCACGAGCGACCCCCGGAACACCCCGGGGCCGGGGGTGACGTAGTGCGCTCTAGGCCCCGCCCCCATGACGCGCTCCCGCGGCATGGCCATATAAGGGAACGAGGCGCGCAGGCCCCGCCCTGCGTGGAGCTGCAGCCAGACCCCGCCCCGCCCGCAGCCCGAGAAGGAGGGGGAGCACGGGGCAGGGAGGGGGCTGCGGGTGGGAGACCCTTCAGGGGGGCACCAGGAGGGGAGCCTGCACAAAGCATAGGGACGGGGAGGGGACGGACGGACGGACGGACATGACACACGCAGCGGGAGTAGGAGGAGGTGGGACACGGTGAGGGATGCAGGGAGCACGGGGGGGTGATAGGGAGGGCCCCAGGCTCGCACGGCACAAGGATGGGGGGGGGAGAATAGCAGGACCCTGAAGGGACAGAGGTGCCCTCGGGCAGGGGATGATGGGTGCCCGGGGGGGGGAGGGGGGGCACCCGTGCCCCTGCCTGCCACACAGGAGCGGGTGCTGCTCTCACGCCTCTTTATTCCGCCCCAGCATCCTTCTTGCCCAGCCCAGGAGGTCCCCGGGGGTCCCTAGAGCAGCGTGGCCAGCTCAAAGCGCTCGGCGCAGCACCCGCGGGGACCCAGCCGCTGCCGGGCCACCTCCCTGCGGTGCCGGGACGCTGCCAGCTCCTGGCGCAGGGCCCTGCTGCGCTCCGGGGGGCCGCCCGCTGCCGCCGCCAACGCCTCCGCTGACACCGAGCTCACCGGGGAGGAGCCACCGCCGCCAGGCTCTGCGAGGAGACAGGCAGCGTCCGGCCCAGATGCGTCACCCACCCACCCACCCGCGGGGCCACCCCCAGGGCTGTGGGTGCCAAAGGGCCCTGCTACCCCCTTTTCCCAATGGCCTCGCCGTGGGAAGAAGGGTGGTGGACAGCCCCGCGGGGCCGTGACAGTTGGGGGTTGCGGGGGTCCCACACTCACTCTGCCGCTCCAGGTCACGCAGGACGATGGTGGAGACAGGCTGTGCCGGGTCCCCGCTGCGGTAGAGCTGCAGCGCCTCGAGGATGTCCGACTCCAGGGCAAACTCTGCATCCCACTCATAGTTCTCGTCCACCGAGGTGTTCCTCCTGTGGAGATGTGCGTCAGGACAGTCTCCACACAGGCACGGCGAGGGATGTTGGGACGCAGGGGGAAGCAGGCAGTGGGTGAGAGGGCAGGCAGGGATGCTGGGGGGAGAGCTGGGGTGGTCCCCAGGGGCAGGGATGGCGGGGATGCCATAGGGGGGTGTCGCCAGGGAGCAGTGGCCGGGGTGCCACAGGAGCTGGGAGGCAGCAGGGCGGCTCCACACCAGGATGCCCTGGCCAAGCCTTGTGGGACAGGCTGAGAGATGCCCCAGCATGAGCCGGCTCGTCCCCGGCGTCCTGCCTGCGGCTCACCTCTTTCCGGTGCCACTGAGGGCTGGATCCATCCTTGCCCTGCCCTCCTCCGCTGCCAAGCCTCCACCGTGCCAGCTGCCCCTGTCCCTGAGTGGGGTGCCCAGGCAGTTTCCCCCCAGGGATGGTGCCAGCGAGGGGGGCCGCAGGAAGGAGGCACTGCCCCGGCCGCTGCTCTGGCTGGTCAAACTGCCCCGTGGCAGCTTCTCCAGGGGGGCGGGATCCGGCGGCCTGCCCGGTGCCCAGCCAGGCTCTATGGTGCCAGCTGAGGGCATGGCCTCAGTCCTGCTGCCACCAATGGGGAGGCGGTGGGCCAGCTGGGTGGGGGGCCACAGGCTGGCCCCCGGGCTGGGGGAGCTGGGCCAGGCAGCAGTGCCAGGCAGCGAGGCCTTGGCCGGACCCACCGGCAGCATGGGGGGTTTGAGGAAAGTGGCAGCTGGGGGAGAGGTGGCGTTGGCACAGGTGTCGATGCAGTCCGGGCACAGCGTCCGCCCCACGTGCTGCAGGGAGCCCCCAGACTCTGATGGGGTGGGTGGTGGGCTGTCAGCGGGCTCTGGCTGGCCACCAGCATGGCTGGGCTCTGCTGGCTCCTCTGGGGGCGGCCAGTCACCATCGACACACATCTCCTTGAAGAAAGGCAGGCTCAGGTACTGGAGGATCCCGCTCTGGGCTGGAGGGCTGGCCGGCTGCCAGCTGCACCCAAGGCTGGGGCTGGGGGAAGCCGGGGGGCCGAGAGGCAGCCGGGGGGAGCCCTCGAGGGGCAGCGAGTCCCACAGGGCGCTGGCAGTGCTCTGGCAGGGCCCGGTGCTGCTGGGGCTGTCGCGCAGCTCCTCCACAGCGCTGTAAGGCAGAGTCGCGGCGGAGGCCACGGGGCTGATGTTGATAATGCACAATGGCGCGGCCTCATCCACGGGGCTGCTGCTGCCATAGCCGAAGTAGCGGCCCTGGCGGTAGCTGGCGGCCCGGGCTCCCCGGCGGGCCTGCCCCATGGGCCGGGGGCGCAGTGAGACCCCCTTGTGCCAGATGTGCTCCTCCTCCTCCTCCTCCTCCTCCTCCTCTGTGGGCAGCTGGAGGTAGGGCTGGGGCTGTGGGCCCTGGGGGTCCTGCTGGGGGTACAGCCCTGGCTCAGCATAGGGCAGCGACCCGAAGCTGCTCTCCTGTGGCTGCGTGTCAGTCTCCACCACAAAGCGCCCGTCGGGGCCACGGCAGATCCGCTCCAGGGGCACATGCTCCCCGACGTGGCTCTCATACATGGCGTACCGGGAGCCGGCCCCGGCGATGCTGAGACCCAGGCTGGTGCCGGCCTTCTCACCCCACAGCAGCGTCCGGCGCAGGCTCTGGTAGGGAGACGGCTGCAGCTTCAGCTTCACGGTGCTGTCTGGGCTACCAGAGCCATGAGAATTGCTGTAAGGAAGAAGGGAGCTGCTATAGCACCCCCATCCTGGCTCTGGGCTTGTGCGGCTGCCCCCCATGCCGGAAGAGCTTGTGCCAGGCATCTGGCAGCAGGTACCATGACCCTGCCACCGCTGCTGCGGGCTCGACAGACCTGCTCCTGCACTTTCTGATCCTTCCTTCAGCCAAAACTCGCCAGAGGCAGCACCCCAGGGGAGCCCTACCCCACGGCACGCCCTGACCCCAGCACCCCTCTCCTAACACCCCCTCTGTGGCCAGCCCTCGGCCAGTGGCAGTGGCTGGCTGCCCCCTGGCCTGTCCCTCTGCTCCCAGCCAGCAGTGAGTGAATGATAGGGAGCGCAGCAAGATGGGGAGGGAGCATGGCATGGCATGACTTACTGTGGAGGTGGAAGCTTCTTGCTGGGGGAGAAGACGAGTGGTGGATCTGGAAGGTCATGAGAACACAAGGGGATCACACGGCGAGCAACTCAAAGTGATGATGAGGAGACTGCGGCACCCACTCAGCCCTGCTACTGCCCCAGGGGAGCCCTCCAGCCCCAGGCTGGCCTATCCCCTCCCTGGGCACCAGGTCCTGCCACCCTGCACATGGCGCTTTGAGCTCTCCAGGAGCCCCGGCGTCCAGGCACCTGCACCCGGGCAGCAAGCTCCTACCTTGCCTTCGCTTCTGGATGCGGGCAGCACGCCGGCGGTTCATGATGCAGGCGGCCATTGTGCTGAAGATGATGGCCACGCTGAGGAAGCAGATCCCACCGATGACCCCGGCCAGCACTGGCTGCGGCAGGAGCTCTGGCAGCTGGGTGCGAGATGGATACACCTCCATGCCTGGGTGAGACAGGAGACACCATCAGAGGCTCGGTTACCCACAGGGCACACCAGCCCGCCTCCCTCATATCACCAGCACCACAGGGATAAACAGCAAAGCCTCAGCTCTCTTGCCCATTGGGGCTGCTCTGCCTTCAGGCGGACCCACGCCCTCCACCATGCCAGGCACCGGGAACAGGGATGCTCTGTGCAGAGCTCTCCTGCTACCTGGCCTGTGAGACTGAGGTCACCCCAGACCTGCATGTGGAGATGGGTGTTCCCACGGTATTAGCTTTGGGGGTCCTGCTCTGGGCGCTGTGTACCCTGGTCTACTAGCAGGGACACTTGGGGGTGGGAGCAGTGTGAAGGGGTTTCTCTTTGGGAAGATCTAGACCATGCTGGGCACTTCACACCTCTGATTTCTATCCCCAGGGCAGGAAGAGCAAGTGGGCAGCAGCCCAGGCCTTACCTGCTGTGGAGACATTCACCGTGTTGCTAGGATCGCTGATGTAGCTGCCAGCAAAGGCCACCAGTCGGAACTCATAGAAGGCGTCCTGGGGAGCAGAGGGCCATTAGCATTGTTGGCACAGTGGTCAGCCAAGCCTCAGCCCACACAGCTGCAGAGCCGAGTGGCTCTGCCAGAGGCCCCAGCTCTGGGTAGCAGCGACATAGGAGATCTAATCCTCTCCCTTGCTGCGTTGCCCAAGCTGCCCCACAGCCAGGGAGCACCCGGTGAAATTCCCACCTTGATGAGTCCTGGCACCAGCACCTGCGTCTTCGTGCTAGGGATGGAGCGGTCCAGCACCTCCCAGCCACCCTTGCCCTGCCGCAGCTCCAGCGCATAGCCGCTCAGCGCCACTGAGAACTGAGCCGGGGGCTCCCACTGCAGCAGGACCCCACGCGCAGTCTCATTGGCGGTCAGAGCCTGCGGCGGGGACAGGAAGATGCGCATGGTCATGGCTGGCGGCTCTGGAGGCACTGTGGTCACTGGGAAGCCTGAGGAGAAAAGGGATGCTGGTGTGGGAGCTAATGCGAGGGGACAGCAGGGCAGAAACAGGAGCCTCCTCAGTGCTTGAGGGCTCTGGGGGGACAGGAGCTGCTTTGGGGAGCGTGCAGGCCCCCTCTTACCCCTGGGCACAGAGGTGACAATCTGGCTGAAGGGGCCACTGCCCAGCTTGTTCTGGGCCAGGACGCTGAACTGGTAGCTTAAGTCTGGCTGCAGATTCTCCACCAAGAGGTGCTGAGCCCCCACTGGCACAGAGAGTGACACCCAGTCATGATGGGCCCGGGGTGGATGCTTCACCCTGAGGAAATGTGGGAAATGGGAGTCCAGAACTGAGGGCCCCTGGTGGGGCAGAGGGGGCGTGGGACACCAGACGCTGCCCACAGGGACTCACAACGGTGTGTACCAGACGCTGAACCTCTGGAAATAACCCCCGTCAAACCCCGGCTCCCAGGAGATATTGGCTGCCAGCAGGAGTGGGAGCACAGAGACGTTAGTGACAGCGTGAGGACTGGTACCTGGTGGCAGAAGCAGAGAGAAGACCTGTCAGACGGGGTGGCTTAGACAACAGTCATGCAGGGGCATTTCCATCCCTTCCAGCACAGGGAGGCTGGTGTTGTACACCCCAGGGCAGCCCAGCACCCACAGCATCTGCCCACTAGGGACCAGCAACTCACCCAGCACGTGGACAGAGGTGGTGGTGCTGACACTGGCCACCAAGTTGGTGGCCGTGCACTCCCAGACACCATGCTGCTCCTTGATGAGTGGGCGGAAGATGAGGCTGCTGTTCGCATCCACCTGGGCACCACTCTTCCCCATGCTACCCACCTGCATGGCAAGACACGGACACACCGATCATGGGCAACCACCCACCCCACCCAGGGCTGGGACAGCTAACGTGGTCCACCACCCTGGTGCTGGCTTAGGAACCAAGGGGCAGGACTTTTTCCCTGGTTTCTTAGGGGGCAACACAAGCAAAGTGCCCTGAGCCCCTTCTACTGCAGGAACCAGGAGAGAGGTGACCCTGTAGCATCTGCAGGGACACAGATATGGGGACTGTGCTAGAGTGATGCCCCAGAAGCCAAAAGCAGCATCTGCCTCCCAGGAGGTCTCAGCTGGTTCCCCAGAGTGGTGGCTCCTACCTTCAGCCAGGTGACAGTTGGGGGGGGATCCCCATGGGCGGCGCAGGGGATCACCAGCTCCCGGCCCACCTCCTGGAAGTATTCCTCCTTAGGGCGCACTGTGAAGGCAGGGGGGTCCTGGAAGACAGGCACACATGGTGAAGGGCTTGGTGGCAGGCAGGACAGGGTGCAGACCTGCAGCAAAGCAGGCCAACGGGCACGCAGTGTGCCTGGGCTGCTCAGCACGGCAGGGTGGGAGCAGCTTAGGTGAGGGACTTGGGCAGTGTGCCCACCTGCCCAGCCTCACCTTCAGCAGGACACGTGTGGGCCGGGACTCGCCAGCAGTGCCATAGCTGTTGTATGGGGTACACGTGTACACTCCCAGCGCATCGTCGTTCCCCATCGCAATGACGATGGAGCCATCTGGTCTTGTGGACCAGCCAGGGAGCTGGAAGATTGGGGCACAGGGTCAGGATGAGGGGCTCAGGGGGGTGGGAAGGCAGGGGAGGGCGCAAGCGGTGGTACCTTGTCCAGCTCCAGTGGGCGCCCATCCCTCGTCCAGCTGACGGAGAGCAGAGGGGGGTTGGCCCTGGTGGGGCAGCGGATCACACCCTGCATCCCCTTAGGCAGGTGGGTCTCTGGGAGCATGGTGGTCACCTGCGCTGGATCTGTGAGGACAAACAGGGTGCCAGGGCCTGCATGAGGGCGGCAGGGGCCAGGGTCCCTGTGGCAGCTGAAGGGGTACCTCCTTCCCACCACAGCCTGTGGGGACCTCCACAGGCTGGCCCAGCAGGGCCTTTCCGTGAGCGGAGCTGCTGACAGCATGGCCCAGGCTCATGAGGGGCTGTGGGGCTCTTACACAGCACTGTGACGAAGGCTGAGGCAGAAGGCGGCTTCCACAGCCCATTGCTGGGGATGCAGGTGTATTTGCCGGCGTCGTCTGGGGTCGTTCGCTGGAGCAAGAGACTCCCATCCACCAGGACGCGGACCCGAGCCTGGAGGTGGCTGCAAGGGAAGGGGAGGGCAGTGGTGAACAGTGTGGCTGGGACTGTCCCCACTGCTCTGGGATGAGCGAACCCCCCAGCCATGCACCCAGCCAGCCCATCACTCTGAGCCACACTTCGCAGGGCCACAGCAGCCCCCGCCAGCCCCAGCACTGCCAGCAGGAGCCACCTCGGTGCCATCCCTGTTCCCACTGTACCTGAGGTGGAAGACGTTGCTGCTGCCCTGGAACCAGGTGTAGGTGAGGTTTCCTGGGTACGCCTCAGCCTGGCACGCCAGAAAGGCATCTTGGGAGACATTGACGGTGACGTTCTGGGGTGGCACCACAATGATAGGTGGCCCTGTAGTGTGAAGCAGAGGGGATAGTGAGGACTGGGGACAGGGGATGGCCCCAGCTGCTCCCAAAGCCCATCATACCTGCACCTGCCCCAAAACCAACCCCTGTGATGTGGCTCCCTCTGTGGCCTGTGGCAGCACCCAGTGGGGTGGCCCACACGGCCAGGGCCGGTAAAGCACCTGCTCTTACCCTGCACGAGTACACGGGTGGTGTGGGTGATGGTACCCTCCTTGCTGGAAGCATGGCAGGTATAAGTGCCTGCGCTGGCGCGCTCCACAACAGCAATGCTCAGCGTCCCGTTCCTCACCTGCAACGGCACCGGGCATGTGGCACAGCCACCAAGGGACAGGACACCCTCAGGAATGTGGCATTGTGGCAGGGCCGGTGGCAGTAGGTGGGTGCCACCATGGTGGGGACGGGCGCCTGCTCTCCAGCCAAACAGAGTTGCATTGCTCTGCATGCCTGGCTGCCCCACAAGACCCTGGCTGAGCTGGGGGACACAACACAGGGGGTAATGGGTGGTTTGCTGTCCTCACCTGCACTGTGTCCCCACTCTGCACAGTCAGGTCGCTCCTCTTCCAGATGACAACAGGCTGGGGGTTGCCAACAGCTGTGCAGGTAAGGCTCAGTGCGTCCCGGTCCTGCACCTCCACAAATGCAGGGGGGGTTTCCAGGAAAGTGGGGGGTGCTGTAAAGACAAGTCCAGACCCTTACCCCCAGGTCCAGCTCAACTGGTGTTGGAAGATGAGTGGATCCAGTCCCAGCCCTGAGAGATCTTGGCTGGTGCTGGGCAGAGCGGTAACCAAGGGTGGGATCTACTGGTACCGTTGACAGTGAGGTGGATCCAGGTGCCGTTCTGGAAGTCAGCATCGGTGCTGTGCCGGTCAAGGAAGAGCACGCGGCACTCGTACCAGCCTTGGTCCTCGGCACGCAGGAGGTCAATGCGCAGCGAGGCACCTTCCTCGATCCGCACACGACCTGCACACCCAGAAGCGGCCGTCACAGCCAGTGCTGCCGGCTCAGGGACAGCTGCATTCCTGGGCCACCCGCCTCCCCGGGACACCCACCCACACAGCACTTGCCCCCACTGCGGGCTCAGTGGCTTCCCTGGGGAGCGGGGCCAACTGCCCCACTTGGCAGCAGCAGGGTCTGCCAGCATGGCCAGGCCATGCTCGGCCTTCTTCCACCTCGGCTGGTGCCACAGGGGGCTAGGAATGGCCACGGGACAAAAGCCAGGGTGGCTGCGCCACGGTGGAGGTTGGTCACACCGACATTTAGCACTACACCTCCCGCTGCTGTTGGGGAAATGGGAGAGGACGTGGAGGTGGGCTCTGCCACCTGCCCCCGTGTAGGGTGGCCTCGGCAGGGACCCCCCTGACAAGGTGGGTCCCTGCACCTTGAGCATCACTCTCAGCAGCTGGGCAAGAAAGCTGGTCCCACTGCCCCCTCTGCCTCCCCCTTGAGCTGCCAGCCTGCCTGCAAAATCCCTCCCTGCCCCCTTCCCCCTTGCCTTTCAGGGACCCTTCTCCTGCAGCCTCAGCTGCCCTTTCCCCCAGGAGCCCCCCCCCGGCAGTCTCACCCTTAGGAGCCCTGCTAAGCCTCGGGCACCCCCGCACCGTCCCCTCTCCCCGTGGCACGGAGGGGGTGAGGCTGAACCCCTCGCCCGCCTTGCAGGCATGAGTGCTACAGACCCCCTGAGGGGCACAAGCAGCGGGGTGCTCTCCGGGACCATGGGGCCCTCGGCCCAAGCAGGCAGCAGCCCCGCGCCCCACGGCCTCTTTGATGAGAAGGAGGATAAGGGCGCAAAGCGACAGCGAGCACAGCCCTTTAATCCCCTGGGCTATTATCAGAGCCATAATCGGCTCAGGCGTGCAGCAGGCAATTGGCTCAGCCCCGGCTGGGGTGTGCAGCCAGCAGCATCCACTGGCCTGGCACCCCCGAGGCTACCTGCCCGCGACCCCACTGCAGGCACCCATGGCCCAGAGAACTGCTCCAGGCTGGGGATGCGGGTTTAGCCCTAGGCGTGCCACTGCCTGCGGTTGCCTTGCTCCCAGCACACCACATCAGGGCCACTGCCACACTCCTGGCAGCACAGCACGCAGCTCTTGGCGCTGGAATAGCTCATGACGCTCCCCATCGACATCGGAGAGCTCCCCGAGTCTAGCAGCTTCCTGAAGTGTTTCCAACAAAGCAAGCTTTGCCGAATGCTGTTGTCAGCTCTACCCAGGAGGTCAGTGTCACAGGCAGTCCCACACGCTGCCCAACTCACTGGAGCCCAGGCAGGGCACTGCACGAGTGCTACTGGCAGCAGGAGGCCGCATCCTGCCAGACGAGCCTGGCGAGGAGGAAGAGGAGTGGTGGGACCCAGGCAGACTGGTTTGGGCATGGAGGCTGGGTGGTTGAGGGACAGGATCACATGCAGAGTGCTGGGGCTGTGCAGCCCTATGCAAACCCAGCACACAGACATGTGCAAACCCTTCCCAACAGCGCCCGGACTTCTTCCAGCCACTGCAGCCACCTGCCACATCTCCCACCCCTCCTGCTTCTCCCCACAGTCAGCTCCGACCCAGACCCACAGAATCTCCTGCAACAGGAGGCACAGGGACAGATGGACATATCCGGGTGCCTCTGGCAGCACCCCTCACTCAGAGCACAAAACAACACTCCAGGCAAACCTTGAACACGAGGAGGGTGGCAGAAGCAGTGAGAGGGAGGGGAGCCATGGCAAAACATCCGTGGGACAAGGGGTCTTCCCACGCCTCACCCCAGAGCCGGCTCCCATGCTGAGCCCTGGGAAGCAGGGCAGCTCCGGGAAACCGCATCCCTGCCTGCAGCTGCCAGCTCACAGCCCCAGGAGCCAGGCGGGAGCAGCAGGCTCCTGAACAAAGGTCCCTTTGGAAGGGATCAGAGTGCCCTGGGGACGCCCCCCAGCCTCCCCCTAATCCCCCATGCCGGCCCCAGCCCCCTCCTCCTCTTCCACCACCCTGCTGATAACAAAACCACCGCTGCCCTCCGGACCAGCATCCCCCAGTGCCTGGCAACCGTTATTCAGAGGGACACAAAGGGGACTGCAGACCCAGCCGCCATGCTTGCCGCCAGGGATGGGGTGCCCAAGCAGGTGGCCAGGCCAGAGACCACCGGCCCTGCTCCAGGCCAGCCAATGGCAAGGGATGGCCCATGACACCATGGGGGATGGTGGCACCTGGGGGAGAGCTGACTCTGTTCCCCCAGGTGGCCCAAGGGCTCTCACAGAGGTGGCTACAGCCCACCTTGTCCCCAGGATGCCCGAAATTGCCTGACGTGGGTGAAAGCAGGGGCTCCCTGGCCCCTCTGGGTGACATCTGATCTGCTCTGCCTGGGAAGGGCTGGAAGAAGGGGCTGCCCTCACCCTTATCCTGCACCCTCGGCCCCTGCCCTTCCCTCCATCCCTTCCCAGCTCCCCAGAGGATTGAAAACAAGCCACCCCCGCTGCCATGGTGACAGCCGCCAGCCCCCCTGCCCACCCACCTCGCCCTCATTACAGTCACCAGACCCCTTCCCCCAGCACATCCCCCCAGCACTGATCCCGGAGCAGCCCAACCTGCTCCCCCCACCCCCCACCCCCCGGGCCTCACTGGCAGCAGGGACAAGGGGGGGCCGAGGGCAGCGCAGGCAGGATGCTGGCAGGGCCTTTCTGGGGAACCCGAGCTCCTGCAGCCAAGGGGCCCTGCAACGCAGGCTCAGGTAACAGGAGCCCAGAGCAGGCCTCCCAGTAAAGCAGGTGCCTTGCCGTCACCAGAGGGTTTGTTGTCACCACTGGTCCCACAGAGCCAGCTCAGGGCTGGCCGTGGAGCAAAAGTGTCCCTGGGCACAGGCTGGCAGCAGGGAGAGACCCAGGTGTGTCCCAAAAATCACTCTCCTCCTGTGCAGCCCAGAAGAGGCAGCATCTCTCTGCCTGCAGTCAGGCAGGACAGGGGTTGGCTCAAACCTCAGCCTGCCATGCATTTTTTAGGCAAGGGCCTGTTTTGGCAGCGGGGGCAGGCTCCTGACCTAGGCATTATCCAATCTGCTGCTCCAGCCCTCCCCATCCTTTCCCGTGGGAGGATTTTGGTGTGTTGCTGCCACAGGCTTTTGGTGCCAGGCTCAGCCCAAAATGCTCAGCCCTTCCCCTCCTCCCCAGATTCCTCATCCTTGAGGGATGCTCCCATTGTCTCCACCTCCATGCTCACAAGGATCCCTCTTGCTCTGCCACTGCTTCACTTTAAATATCCCATAAAGAGAATATCCCCCTCCCACGCCACAGCCCTTTCCCAGCACAGCTTTGCTCCAAATCCCAGCCAGTCCAGCACCGCCAATTAGTGGCTTCGCCAAAATCCCCTCCCCAGGCTCAACCTTCAAGCATGGGCCAAGGCGGCGGCGTGGCAGTGCCTGGGCACCCGCGGCCTCTGGCACGGGGCATCCCACTGTCACCGGCCCCAGTCCGGTGCAGCAGGCAGGACAGGAGAGCCAGGGCAGCGCAGCAGGCAGTACCACGACACCACGCCTCAGGTGCGTGCAGGCAGGTCCCCATTTGCAAGGGGGTGGTGCTGGGGGAGGCCTCGGCAGCCAGAGGCCACGGTGATGGGGGCGATGGCTGGTGTGCTGGGAGCCTCCTGCCTGGGGAGCTTCTCTCACCCTCCACCCCAGTGGGGATCCCTCCCCGCTGCCGAGCTGGGCCAGGGGCTGAGTCTCCCCTGCAAGCTGGGTATTCACATCCCTTCTGTCTCCTACTCCAGTCATCCCTGGAACTGCTGCACAAGGATAGGACTCTGCCCTGCCTTGGGGACCTCCCCAGTCCCACAATGTCCCCTCTTGCTGCCCCAGGGCCAGAGGGAAAGCCCTGCGCTTCCCCACCGTCCTGGGAGCGTGATTAATGCTGTCTGACAGCAGCAGCCCTCGACTGGGGCCCAGCCAAGGAGAGCAGGGACATGGGACACCGGAGCCAGACTGGCCGGCCTCGGGTAACCCCCCGGGCCAGTCCCAGCCCGGAGGCTGGAGCCAGGAGGGCCCCCCCAGGACCCCATAATCACCCACCACCATGGCACCCCAGCCACAGGACTTACCTATGTACTCTGGGTCCACCCGCGGCGAGTACAGCCCGAACTTGATGAAGATGGGGAGGACGAAGCCGAAGCGGACCCACTCGATCACGTAGAGAGGGGGACGGGCCTCGTGGGCGTCCAGGAGGTCGCAGCCCAGCACCGTGCTCTCCCCGACTCGCCCCACCACGGCCTGGGACTCGCTCTGGCCGCTGCCTGACGGGAGCGAGGCGGGAGGGGTGAGCCCCGCCACCGGGACGGGACCCTGCCCT